CAGAGCCAGAGCAAGAGGGAGAGGGTGTAGGAGAGGGGGAGGTGGTTCACTAGTTCACCCTCAAACCGCACAGATGGAAAGATTTTGCACAGATTATTACACTAAAAATGGAAAGCAGAACCTGCAGTGAATAGAAATTCATTGCAAATTTAAAAAAAAAAAAAAATGTATTGCTATGAGGGGGTGGGGGATTTCGTTTTAAACCCACCAAACCCCCCAACCCCACCCCTGGACACACGAGGCCTGCTAGATAATATATATTATTAATAAGTCTAAATGGCGGCAAAAAATGTGTGCTACGTAGCTGGTCGGAACTTAGTATCATTGCTGCCAGTAGCTTGCTTGCCTCAAGTATAGCTCTGTACTAAAGACAACCAGCCGTTCACATTACGACATGCCGCAGGAGACATAATAAATAGAAACATTGATCGGCTGGCACTTTTGCGCAACACGAAGTCCCGACAAGGAATCACCACTCAGAAAATGGCTCACAAAAGCGAGAATAAATGATCAAGCTTAATTTAACATTAATATGTAATCTACAAATGGAACAATACCACCTAATCTTTTTGAAACACTATTTCACACAAACTAATTACACCATGTATTGATATACCTATTATATTACTCAAAGTCAGCATCTACTCGCATTCACCGTTTTCAAAAATATAGTACTGGCAAGTGCGAGACAGACTGACGTCAACCGGATATGTAAGACAAAACACATGGCAGCTAAATGGAATGCAATATACGATACGTTTACAAATGATCAAGTGACGGACAACAAGCAAGTAAATCGAACGCAGGCAGAAAATATTTGAACCGATATAAAAGAGGGAAAATAGCCAAAGTAGTGCTGACTTTGAGTAAAATAAGATAGGATAAATAATACATGGTGATAAAAATTAAGATTTAAAAGTTGTAGAAAAAAATTGAAAAGGGATTATCAAAAAAGATAAAAGTAGAGGATGATCCATGTAGATAAAATAAAGTGTTAAAAAAGCCCAGAAATAAAATTTTTCACGTTATAGTAACGCCAATTATTGAGATCGGACCTGTAATGAGGATCCCAAGGTGTTGCTGCCTAAAATTCAAGCTCGAACAAATGACTTCTATATGACCCAATGACCAGGCAGATCAATGTAACGCAGGGGGCTAATTAAGTACTAGAGCTTAAGTTAGAAACCGAAATAAATTTCTGTCCCATAATAAACCTGTTTTATATTGTTAGGTGACAGGTTAATTGGACAAGAACAGGGGCTACAATTGAAATTTCAGATGAAGATCGCATGCCAAAAATAATGCATGCAGAACTGACCATGAATGACGGGCCCGTAACGACCCTATATGAACAAAAAGCGAAAAAAACATACCGTTCCCTTCTACATGGACTTTACTCTTGCATAATTAGTATAGTGAAATTTACATTCAACTATCAATCGTTATATCACTTCTATAAATAGTATGTTATTTACATAAAACCCGAACTTCGTTCAAACTTAATTCAATAAATTACAATACAGCCATTATACAAAAACAATCAGACAATCCACGAGCGAATGTCTATATTTTCAGTAACCCAACTAGTGAACTAAAATAAATTATTCTTCAAAGAGCCTCTGCAAGCGCAACAAGAGGAATACAAAAGCAGAGAAACCACACCAAGGCATAATTGTAAGACTCGCCTGAACTGAATTATGAGTAATCTGAAAATTAGTTTAGTAAAATGGCTTAACGAAATGTTATAATTTAGAGAAAGAGGGGACGAAGCAGAGATGGTTTATGAAAAAACAATTCTTTTAAAGAATAGTGAAAATAATGAAACGGATATGAAAAGTGAAATGATATTACACATGAATCCACAATACAAATATAGCCCAAGGTATAAAGACCATGTAGTAAGGAACGGAATAAGAGTTTTAAATATTAGATCGCGTATACAATAGCGGCGTAACGGAGCCGACATAATACGCCAGCAATGACATATTAATGCAATGCGATCTCACAAATTTCAATGAGCCCCGTTCATGTAACCACAATGAAAAGATGAAAGATTGAAGATGAAAACAGGTTATTTGTGACATAAAAGGAGACATACAATAAATAACAGAAGTACATACGTAATATAAAAGAGAATAAATAAACATGTAGATAGACTCAATTTAATAATCCAGATCTTAAAGCCACGGGAAGTGCGAGAGACACTCAATAAGTTACAATCTAGTATGCCACCCCGCAAGAGTTAGAAATTCAGAAACGTAAAGCAGCGCCCAATTTAAACCCTCACCAAAATATTAAAAAAAGATTAATATGGGACAGAAATATATTTCGGATATTTCTAGCTATAGAACATAACGATATAGAAGCTAGCTGACCCAAGTAAACCCGACACTAGGCTAGATAGTGATCTAAACGGTCAATACACCGGGTATTCATAACCCTATGACAATACACGTTATCTTTGGAGACTAGCTGCCAGTGCGTCACGCGGGAATGGTCATCACTCTCAAACCAATTGTACTCAAAACTTAGACGTAATCATCTGCGAAGATAAAACGAATTCAAATTCGCAGAACTGTTCTAAAACCGCCCATAATTAATATAAGGGTATTTCCAGGAACAATAAATACATATCAATACGATTAATTTACGGTGGATAGTGCGGCACTTATTATGAATTGCGAAAAGTACTAATGCACAATTATAATTTACCAGATTTAGACCTAACTGCTCAACAAATATATATAGAGGCACGAAGAACCGGAAACCCGGATACGAGCAGAGGAATCTGAATACCAGCGCCAATAAAAGGCTCCACGTGGGCCACTATCACGTGTGAGCCAAACCAAAATGAATATGATAGGTTAGGCGAAAAAATAAGAAATGTTTGACGTTTTTATATGATTAGAACCGCGAAATATAGAACATATGAATAAATATAATAGCAATGAATAAATAAAGTTGATTTTTTAAGATATATTCAGAAAATAACTTGCGCTTGTTTTAGTGAATGAGCAACAGCGGATCAATAGTACGGTACTCGACCCTCACCAAACCTCGACCAGTCGAGCTAACTAAGCGAAGAATGGTGGGACCGTCGGTAACCAGTTCTAACACAAAAGATCGGTGCCAAGTTATTTTTGTGAAAAAGGTTTTCTTATCGACATTAATACAATTTATAAAAAGAAAATTTAATCAAGCTAACAAATGAATGAAGCTAACAAAATTAATAATTGATATTGGTCTATTGACGCATAATCAATTATACAAATTACAAATATATTTTAGATATTATAAATTTATCCAAAAAATAAAAACATAGCAGTGCATGAAATTTATTGATGTTAGTGGTATTGAGAAATGAAGCAGTTAAAGATTGTTACAAAGCTGTACATACCTGACTACAGACACCACAGGCGCGGACACATAGCTGTCTACGTACAGCAAACTGTACTCGGCACTAACAATACAATGAAGGTATGTTGTGTCTCTTTATTAATTACTAAAAAACTAATATGATATTTAACAATAGTAGTATAAGTAAAATATTGATATATATATCGTGGAATCATATCTCGTATACATTACGTAGATAAAGCATATCTTATTAGGAAAAATAAGAGTTGAGATTTTTGTATATCGGTATTGGGTTAATGGATTTTGGTAGTGGAAAGACACGGTTAACATAAGCCCTAGGCCTAGGCCTAAGGGTATAGGCGGACCTAAGAATCCAGAGAAGACATTTGTATACTAAGATTGACGGTGGCACAGCTTTGCCTAGTAGATCTGAGCGCTAGCAGCGCGGAAATCGAGATGCCGCAGTTACCGTAACGGAATATGTTCAACGCAAGGACCAGCGGTGATGTTCAAGTAGATGCCAGCGACTGTCCGCGAAGGTGGAGACAGTGCCCGCCAAATTCGCAGAGAACCCGGCGCACGATTCTCCATCAGCAGGATCAGCAGGATAAAAATGGTCACTGTCATTTTAAGAAAAGATGAACAAAATGATTAATATTGATATGAAACGAAATATATGTAGCAGGCTTATAGATTTAGAAAAAGTACAGAAGAGGACTAACAATTATGAGGGAAAAGACTATTATCACACTCCATTAAATCCACATCACCGTATAAGCAGGCAAATGAATGGGAAAGAGCAATCCACTAAAATACCATCCACAACCATCTATTTTCGCATGATCAATCGGAGCTCCACTAAAAGTGACACTTTAATCAAAGAAGTATGAATGGATGAAAGCTCCTTAGGGCTCAATCATCATGAAACCTCTTGAGGGTGTAATGGAAATGGATCAATGACCAAATCCTCAATGTCTAGAGTGAAAATCCAAAAACGAAAAAATTGAGATTGTCATGATCAAATCTACTGATTAATCATTCATCTTCAACACTTCATTCATTCAAATAGCGCAATCATCAGCGGATTACATTCTTTTCATCCAAACAACCAAACACAATAGCACAACAGATTAATAAAAAGAGGAATTGATCGGAATAGTAAAAAAATAAACAAATTGTTTGTAATTATAATATCTAGAAATTTCCATCCTATAGAGATTATCTAATCCATGTACCATGAGATATATATTCAGCACAAAAATTATCACAATTCAAATACACAAAACATAGACCAAAATTACTATGTACGATAGTAGCCACGTATGATAGACCCATCAAGCCTACGAACTGTTCATCACTAGTAAAAATTGCTCAGGCACAAAACCAATCCTTACTTCGCCACAGATAAACGAGCAGGATAACGTGTGAATCCTAACACAGTATAAAGGTACCAAAATAGAATATCTTCCACGCCGATGACTGTTGTTATAGTTGCAATTATTTAATAATATATAGTAATAATACCAGAGGGTAGATAACCAAGAACCTGTACACTTAGCCATTACGTTCAGTCACTTACAACACCAACAAATTGATTGTGTAGTGCTAAATCCTTTTTTGATTACACCCCCTACATTGAGAACTCTATGTAGAGCCGCATATTAATTCAACGTAATAAGAAGTAGACCGAAGAAATGTGACGATCCAACGTTGGCAAGACAACGCTTAACGGGACATGGTATCATACACAAAAGCCACTTGAGCCCAATCCATAGTGTAGACCAAATAGCAGTAAATATGTTGTTGCGTACAGTAAAAACCCCCGAGTTAGTGTGCGTGCAGATCAGCAGGTAAAGCATCAGGATAGCAAAGAATACGAGCTTACAATATTTGAAAATGAAATTTAAAAAATATTAATGACGTTTGGGTCTCAACGTTGGCAATATGACGTATGGAGTCCAAACAGTATATAAAAAGGCAATATGTCGATTTGGAGCCAAACAGTTAGGCAAGTAAAATAGTATGACGTTGGGCAACGTTGGCAGAATATGATACGTTAGCTCACAACGATTTAAGGAACAAGTATGCGTTGCCAGCCAACAGTTAGGACAGAAAATTAATGAACGTATGAGACCAAACTGTAATAGAGCAAAAATATGACGGTTGGGCCATACTCCGTTTAGGCATTATGAACGTTGGGACCAACAGTAAGACCAGGCAAAATAATGCGTATGAGAGCCAACGTTAATATATAATATAAGGCCAAAAAATATGACGTTGAAGCCAACGTTGGCAGTTAAAGTATGCCACGTTGGGCCAACAGAATAAGTCATAAAGGCAATATGACGTTGGCGCCAAACGTTGGGAAACCAAACGCATGGACCCAAACAATTGAGGGCCAACGAATCAGCCCAAGAGCAAAATCCGTTGGGCCAAACTGCGCATTGGCAGACAAACGTGGCCCAACGGTAAATGGACAATGGCGAAAATAAGAAAAAGCAAGCACAGTATGCGCCAACAGTTAGGCCAACGTCGAGACAATTTTGATCATGGGGGCACATGACGTTACACTATCCGAACAGGCAAGTAAAAAAATGACAGAAACAATTTTCCTGTTCGATTCGAAAATACATCGGACCGGGCAATATTCATTATTTACAAAATGAAAACAAGAAGACATGAAAGGGGAAAGGAACAAGTCACGTCGCGTGACGACCCCACATTTCATAGCCATCGGATAATCTAACGAACGCAAAGGCGGAGCCCTATATTCTTAATTACAGAGAGGATGCTAAAATGCAAACAAAGTATGATTGAAGCATATGTGCACTTAAACGACGTGTCATATTTTATTCGTTTCTTTGATGACCAAACTACTAATCAGTAGGATAAGACCGATTCTAGCTAGCATTAATCCCATAGTTAACGTGAGATCGGCGATTCCGTGCCGTAATAGGTATTATAGCTAAAAGTTAGTATATAAGGGGCGGCGTAGACTGTGATTGGAAGACACAAAGTGTCAATCCTCGGCGAGCGCCTCGGGATCATGGCCGCGTTACGTCAAGTGCCTAGAGGCTAGAATCTTGAAGTATATACAGTTTACATTGCTTCTAGATATCTAACTGAATTAAAATAGTCCACTTTCTACGTAAAGAAAGGTGCCGAATTCAATTAACAGCTTTGATTACGTGCGTGTCAGGTGTCACTGGGCATGCCCTCACTCCCCACGACAACCCCTGCGACATGATATGAACTTATTGTTATGCGGCCATAAAAACACTTGGCTACGCTACATGCCGCAATCGATTTCTTAGACTGTCACGAGGTTTTGTTCGTGTGGCGAATCATGTTTGGAGGATGTTTTGGATACCCCGTCTACGTTCAGGAACGGAGCGTATTAGTAATAGAATGCGCTCCCGTTTACAAGTCTGTCTAAACTGCCGTTGCGATAACCGTAGTATTTCAGCGTAATATGAGGGGAAAAAGTGCCGGTCAGGAGGACCGGCAGTTTCGTAGAGGTGGTGGCCAAAGCAAAAACTTGGTGGCCTCGGGCCGGCACTAATTTCGAACGCTGCATTCATTGCATGCACGATCTTATGAAAGTGCATTCATGACAAATGGTGATCAACAAGCATCTATCTAAAATAATAATCTATTAAACGTTTTTTTTGCAATTGATCAATCTATCTGAACAACAAAACTGCACAAGATTCCTAGTTTGGAACCCCGGTATGTATAGTTTACATATTTGCTAAACAAATCTGGGTGTGCTAAACTAGGATTGGGCCCAACACAATGCTCCCTTTGATGTTGCTACTACATATATATATATACATAGACATGTGATTTCAACATTTAACCTGTCAATCACACCAGATGGATAGGTTGTTTGTTACATGTGACAAGTTGTCGTGAGCCATGCATTGCCACACAGGTACTGGTAATATAAGCTCATATTTTTCAGACACGGATATGTAAACCTGGCTTGATCTATGATGTCTGCATGCTGGAAAGACTGTGGGTGTGGTAGCCTATTCCAGCGCAGCACCTGTACGCAGCCCCCAGTGTCCAAAATTATGCTAGTTTTTCTAACATCCATGTAATGGCCGCCTCTCACAGGGGAGACTCCGTAAGTAAATACACGAGCTGGTGGAATAACAATTGGGCAAACATAGAAAGTGACAAACTTCTCGCTATGTGTAAATTATACAAAGTAGTAATTTCTTGCTGTTGCTTTTAAGTTTGCAACTGAAAAGATATGAAAAATATTTGACAAGTTTCTCACCATAGTTAAAACGTAATCACTACCAAAAATTGAATTGATTAAAGCATTAATTGTTTTTATTATTTTTATTATCATGATCTGTTTTAAATTTATTATTATTATTATTGTCATATTGTGTTTGTATTGAGTTGACTTTGTCTGCAGGTGTTTGTAAGAGTTACTGCGGAGATACGACCAGAGATGCTTGAACGTCCGCAGATGTCCCAGGAGGACTCATTAGCACAGCTTCGTCACACCGGAGCAGAGTGCTCCTACTCCACGGACAAGACCTACATTGTCACGGGAACCTGGTCTCAGGTAGGTTCGTTACACGGGAAGACGGTCTCACGACATAAGTTTATTGCGAGAAGGTCCCACACAGGTTGGTCTAGGGAAGACGATTTAAATCTTTACAGTTTATCGCCATTAAATTACTGACACGTGACGTTTACGTCAGTCGTGACAAAATAACATCATGCGAAAGTCTGCCGCCTTCAAATGACAAGGTCCAGTTAAAAAGCACGCTATTCCTACAGCGCACAAACTATTTGCTGTATGCAATCGTCAGATTGAGGACACGCGGCAGATGCTGATGGCACGGCTTGACCCGGGCAGCGCTAGTGACGCAGATCTCGCAGGCGGTGAATGTAGACCCGCACGGACTGGAAGTGACGGCGACGGCGGTGCCACGAGACACGAGCAAGTCAAAGCGGAGACACGGGGAGATAGCAGTGGCGATCTGGTTCAGGCAGACCAGAATCGATCTACGTCGTCCGAGCCAGGTGAAGATTGGTTGCGTTCGGTTGCGGGGGGGGGGGCAGGCTTAAGTTTCGAAATTTTAATCGCTCCTTTAGCCTTCCTCTCCAACAAGGTTTGAAACAATAACTATTGATTGTAAAATGTATGGGAAGCGTCCGTCACATTGCAGAATCCTCTCATTGGCATTCTAGTGTTTCATTCTGCCGATGACACGATTGCAGGCGAGAGAGGAGACGAGGTGAAATACAACTACACATGCACAGCGTCGGGAGCAACGGACACCAGGTGGCAGCCTGTTTCGCCCGCAAAGAACGGCGAAGATGATTCGCTGGACGGCGACACCGACGGACAGAGCGAGGAAACATGCGAGACGGACGACAGCGACGCGGCGGGAAGGCCGCCGACCGTCGACGGTGCGCACGCGGACGGTGGCGACACCAGTGACGGCGAGTGGAAACCCCGGCGGTCACGGCGCAAGGGCATCCCTCGTAAGCGAGCTCTCGCGGAGCCTCCGCCCCCGGCGCCGACGCGGCGCGGGCGGCCGCGTGTGTCCCCTCCGGAGCCCCCGCCCCGCCCGCGGCACACGAAACGCGGGCGGGGACGGCCACGCGGCGCGCGGGACCGCAAGCCGCGAGTGCGCCAGTCGGAGCAGATGCGCGGGGGAGCGCGCGCGCCGCCGCCGCCGCCGCGCGACGACGACGACGGCGGCTCCGCCGTTCCCCCGCACGCTCCACCGGCGCCCCCGCGCGCTCCGTTGCCGCCGACGACAGCGAGGACTGGCGCCTCGCGGGGACGACGTACGCGTGCGTGCACTGCCCGTTCACGACGAAGCACGTCGTCAGCATCCGCAAGCACGTGAAGCGGCGGCACCAGCACCGGCCGCACGCCTGCGACTTCTGCCCGAAGAACTTTGCCTACAAGTCGGACCTGCGCAAGCACGTCGTCACGCACCCGGCGTACGAGGGCCGCGGCGGGCTCAAGTGTCCGCACTGCGACCGCATCTGCGTCTGCCGCTCGCACCTGCGCCGGCACGCGCTCATCCACACGGGCGAGAATCGCACGTTCACTTGTCCGCGCGCGGGCTGCCGCAAGGCGTTCACGTCGAAGCACGCCGTCGACGTGCACGTCGAGATTCACACCGGGGGGCGCCGGCGTCCGTTCCTCTGCAGCACGTGCGGAAAGGCGTTCACGACGAAGAACGTGCTGCTGGAACACGAGAACATCCACTCGAACGCGCGGCCGATGAAGTGCGAGATCTGTGATAAGGGCTTCAACAGCGGCAGCTCGCTGCGTATTCACCGCATGACGCACAGCACCGAGTGCAGGTAAGCACGCGGTAGCACGGCGCAGCATGTGCGCATCTGATTATGCCTCTATATTATATATTTATATTATTATATCTTTATAATCCCTTTATATTGTCTATACTGGCACTTGGGCTATATACATCTACATGTACATACGCACGCACACACGCACGCTGTTGCTGTGAAGTCTGATGAAGAGAACTATGTTCTCGAAAGCTTTGAAAGTAAAAAGTAAAAAATTAGCACCTCATTCTATTTTTATATTTATTTGTATGTTTTCATATATATATATATATATAAAAATATATATTCATATATATATTTGTGTGTGTGTGTTCTTATATGTATACAGTCTGTCTGATTGTAGGTTTTACCGGTGTGGCATGTAGTTTTTGTATTGAATATATATTAATTTTGTAATTTAATACATAATATTCATTCGACGACTAGCGTGCTGATCTTTGCACCCTGGCCAGCCCGGCCCGGCGCTCTCTCCGTCGATCTTACGCTCCTCCTGTCCGCAGGTACGTGTGCGAGATCTGCAGCAAGGAGTTCAAGCTGCTCGCGTCGCTGCGCATGCACCAGGTGGTGCACAGCGGCAAGCGAGCGTTCGTCTGCACGCGCTGCGGCAAGGCGTTCACGCAGAACAGCGCGCTGCAGCGGCACACGCGCATCCACACGGGCGTGAAGCCATACGCGTGCAAGCTCTGCGAGAAGACATTCGGCGACTCGTCCATCCTCCGGCGACACATGAGCGTCCACCGGCTCGACGGCGAGGGCAAACGCGCCGCCGCGGCACCCCCTGCCCGCCCGCCGGCCATCGCCGCGACGCAGTCGGCCGCACCGGTCGCGCCACCGGTCGCGGTGCCGCCGCATCACGTCGAGTTTGCCACTCCCGCCGGGAAGGTCGAAGCGACGCGTGGCGCCACCTACCAGGCGCCGACGCAGAACGGCGTCGAATCGCGTACGGCGGAGCCGATGCAGACGGCGCCATCGAACCACGTCGACCACCTGTCGCTGTTGCCGCAGGCGGGCGTGTTCCCCCAGGGGGCGCCGGGAGCGACGAGCAGCCTCTATCAGACGGTGATGAACATCGGACAATCGAGCGGCATCATCCAGGCTCCGTTCTCAGAGTACCAGGGAGTGAACACGGCCTTCATGAACACGACGGCCCCACACTTCTACCCCACGTAGAAGTTTCGCTGATCATTGCTTTACACTCCTACCCCACGTAGAAGTTATGTTGATCACGGCTTTACACTTCTATGTTACGTAGAAGTTATGTTGATCACGGTTTTACACTCCTACCCCACGTAGAAGTTATGTTGATCACGGCTTTACACTTCTATGTTACGTAGAAGTTATGTTGATCACGGCTTTACACTTCTATCTTACGTAGAAGTTATGTTGATCACGGCTTTACACTTCTATGTTAAGTAGAAGTTATGTTGATCATGGCCTTACACTCCTACCCCACGTAGAAGTCATGTTGATCACGGCTTTACACTCCTACCCCACGTAGAAGTTATGTTGATCACGGTTTTACACTCCTACCCCACGTAGAAGTTATGTTGATCACGGCTTTACACGTCTATGTTACGCTTAGAGTTAGGTTATACGCGTTTTACACTCTTACCCACGTAGAAGTTATGTTGATCAGGGTTTTACACTCCTTACCCCACGTAGAAGTCATGTTGATCACAGGTTTTACACTCCGTACCCATCGTAGAGTAACTTATGTTTGATCACGGTTTTACACTCCTACCCACGTAGAAGTTATGTTTGATTCACGGGCTTTACACTTCTTGTTAAAGTAGAAGTTATGTTGATCATGGCCCTTAACTCCTACCGCCCGTAGAAGTCATGTTGATCACGGGCTTTACACTCCTACCCACGTTAGAAGTATCGTTGATCCACGGCTTACACTCCTACACCACGTAGAAGTCATGTTTTGATACACGCGTTTTACATCCTACCCCACGTAGAAGTATGTCTGAATCACCGGCTTTACACTTCCTACCCCACGTAGAAGTTAATGATGATCCACGGCCTTTACACAGTCTACCCCAGCGTAGAAGTTCATGTTGACACGGCCTTACACTCCTACCCACGTGAGATAAGTCATGTGTGATCACGCTTTACACTCTACCCCCACGTAGCAGTCTATGTTGATTCACCGGCCTTACACTCTACTCAGTAGAAGTCATGTTTGATGACGGGCTTTACACTCTACCCCACTAGAAGTTATGTTGATCACGGCCTTACACTCCTAGCCCACGTAGAAGTTATGTTGATCACGGCTTTTACACTCTATGTTACCGTAGAGTTATGATTAATCATGAGCTGTTACACTTCTACCCCACGACAGAAGTTATTGATCACGGCTTTACACTTCTGTGTTTACGTAGAAGTTATGGTTGATCATGCTTACATCTCTATCTTACGTAGAACGTATGTTATCACGGCTTTAGCGACTTCTATCTTACGTAGAAGTTATGTTGATCACGGCTTTACACTTCTATCTTACGTAGAAGTTATGTTATCACGGCTTTACACTTCTATCTTACGTAGAAGTTACGCTGAATACGGCATTACTCTCCTACCCCATGTAGAAGTTACTCTAACCATGGCAATACGCTCCTACCCAACATAGAAGTTACGCTAACCATGGCAATACACTCCTACCCAACATAGAAGTTACTCTAACCATGGCAATACACTCCTACCCTACACAGAAGTTACGCTAACCATGGCAATACACTCCTACCCTACACAGAAGTTACGCTAACCATGGCAATACACTCCTACCCAACATAGAAGTTACTCTACATGGCAATACACTCCTACCTACACAGAAGTTACTGCCTAACCATGGCAATACGCTCCTTACCCAAATAGAAGTTACGCTAACCATGGCAATACACTCCTACCAACATAGAAGTTACTCTAACCATGGCAATACACTCCTACCCTACACAGAGTTACGCTAAACCATGGCATCACTCTACCCTACACAGAAGTTACGTAACCATGGCAATAACTCCTACCCAACACAGTGCTGCACTCAGGATATTACAAAAAAAAGTATAAAACTGTCCGAAAAAAGCATCAAAATTGCCTTAAAAAAGTATTAAAAAAGTATAAATTTGTATCAACCTACATGATTTGTTACTTAGACCTTATTACGGATACATTATAGCCATGTAACATGCATGTAAACAAGCTTCAGGATGATTGTGCAATGTCATGAGGAGTTGTTCTTGAACTCTCAGTTTGGAATATTTCAATTGGCGTGTTTCCATTGGCAGAAAGGTGGTAGGCGTAACATTTTTAGCTCGCCTTGACATCAAGGTGAGCTATTCGCATGGGGCGTTGTCCGTCGTACGTCCGTCAACATTTGACTACGTCAACGATAATTGAGACCGTTTGACCCACATGTTTCAAATTGCATACAGTGTGTTACTCGTTCTGGGGAGAGCATGTGAAACGTCCTATTTTGGAGCACGGCCAGTTGACTTGCTTTTGAGCCACGCCCACTTTTTGCAAAAAATCGGAAATGGCCATAAAGTCATTAGGTCAACGGATTTTGCAATTTTGGTATGCTGAATGAATAAGGACTGGCCCCAAACTTATCAGAGGGGTTTGATATATTTTCTTAAATTATGCAAATTAGGTAGATTTTGCCAATTTCACTATGCATTTCAGTGTCTGCCTACGGTCAACGATAACTCAAAAACCGTTTGACCTACATGTTTCAAATTGCATACAGTTGTTACTCCTATGGGAGAGATTTGAACGTCCTATTTTGGAGCACGCCAGTCGACCTACTTTCGAGCCACGCCCACTTTTTGGCAAAAATGGAAATGGCCATCTAGATTCATTCGATTTTGTTAAATTTACCTACCTAATCATACCTACGTGTAATATTGTGTTTTAGATTCTTCGTTACAGTAATTTGACTGGAATATTTTATTGCTTTTATTTGCACGATAATCAAAAACCAAAATGGCGATCATTTAGGCATAGCGCCATCTCTCGCCCAGATTTCAGACTTTCAGATCTGAAACATTTATTTTAGCATCAAAACTAACCCTGAAACAAAGCAGTGAAATTTCTATTAGTATAAAACAGGGAATAAGGACATTTGATCCCATTTCGGTCCGTCATAAATGAAACGCTTACCAAATTTTAAATATCATCTCCCTCTTCTATCACACCAAAGGTGATCTATAGTGTCATTGACACTTTCATTGTGTGATGTGTTTGTGTGTTGCGATGTCCTAGCACCGTGAGCAGTGCATGTGCCTGGCCAGCTAGGGGGGTCCGGGGGCATGCTTGACCAGGAAATTTTTTGAAAAAATGGTGCAATTTAGTGCATTCTAAGCTATTCTGGACACATTGTATGAGACTCTTGAATCTCTTTTTCAAGTTATCGAACGTTTCGTCAGCGAGGCGGTGTTTTGGACAAATTTCTGTGTGGCAGCTGAGAATTTGAGTGAGGCGGCCCGCCTCGCTCGTGTCAATGCAGGGGAAACACTGCAATGGTCTGTCATTTGGTCACTGACAGCAGAGAGCGGCGAGCAAAAACACTCCACTGAACAGAGCACACATCACTCCTGGAACAAGACTAGCAAAGCACATCTTTAATTTCATCAAATACAGTGTACCTAAATGTAAGAATGAGAAGAGTTTTGACCATCTTTGGCAAAAAAAGTATTTACAATTATTTATGCATGAAAAAAGGATGAAAAAAGTATATTTTCTTTAAAAACTGGCGTGCACTGCAACATAGAAGTTACGCTAACCATGGCAACACACTCCTACCCTACATAGAAGTTACGCTAACCATGGCAATACACTCCTACCCTACACAAAAGTTACGCTAACCATGGCAATACGCTCCTACCCTACATAGAAGTTACGCTCATAGGGTCTATGTCCCCCAGGGTACTGCCGGAACGTACCCTGGTAACTATCTGATAGGGTTAAGGCGTAGGCGACTCCCTAGACTCGTTAGTGGAGTAGGCGAGGTACGGTCCGGCATATTAGATAGTACCAGGGTACGTTTTGGCAGTACCCTGGGGGACATAGACCCTCTCAGCAGAAGTTACGCTAACCATGGCAATACGCTCCTACCCTACATAGAAGTTACGCTAACCATGGCAATACGCTCCTACCCTACATAGAAGTTACGCTAACCATGGCAATACACTCCTACCCAACATAGAAGTTACGCTGAATACGGTTTTACTCTCCTACCCCACATAGAAGCTGTGGTGATTGTCATTACAGCAAGGCACTTCTATGCTACGTGGGTCTGGTGCTTGTAAACACATCACTGCGTTTTTATCCTATATTGAAGTTGTAGGGTTTGTGAAGACTTCTGACGTTTGTTATCACAGCTTACAGATTGATCCTTCCAGACTGCATATATAGTTTTGTGCATTTGTTGACCATTATCTTTCGTTATTTACTAACTTATATGATAAGCATTGCTGCATTCAGATAATGGCAGCCATAGCTTCAATGAATTATGCAGAACTCTCTAGTCTATTAAAAAAGCAGTCATCCTCTATTGTTTTTTTTAGTATTAAACATTTTTGGGTGGAAGCATTGGGTCTTTGGCACTTTAATTTTACCAAAGGTTTCTAGTGTTGGTAAGGAGCAGTGTCAGTATAAAATTACATGTTATGCATTGTGAATACAATATGCAAGTGTTGGTACCAACGTTTCACATTACGTTTGTACAGGATTTTAGGTAATAATATTGCACAAAAACAGTCTCATCCAAATCGATGGAAAAAAGTTCCTGTAGTGGTCATACTGGAGACATGTTTATATTGGTCATCATTGAAAATTTATTTAGCCCTCTAATCCTATATTGATTATAAAAATGCAAGTGTTTGCATTTTATTCGACTGTGCATTAAACACTAAGTTAAGTGAAGCAGTTAAGGCAAGCAGCAATAAACTCATGTGAAGTTCCTAGGTGTTTTAGATATTGTCCAGCAATGAACGAATCAAGAGGATGAACTGCATGTGTGAATCTTCCTCTCGTGATGGTATGCAATGTCTATCAATGTTGGTTATAGACTATACATGTGAGAGGCAAAATGTAGGTAACTTGATCTACAATTATAAATCATGTGATATTGTTAATGCAAACTTATTTATGATAATTGATATATTGGCGTTTGTATGTGAACTGTACATTTACATTTGTGTAAAACCATTAGCGATGTGATCTTGACCGTGTAGGTGTTGTATTAATATACATGCATTATAGGATAACGCTTCTCTGTAAGGTGTGAAACAAGAATAACTTGTGGCTACATAGAATAGGATTTTTTAATGTATCTGTTTGTGCATTTTAATGCATTTATATAAATATAAATGAACGTGATAAACAACGAAGTTAGACTAGTTAAATTGTCTTTACCCTGCTATAATCTAGACAGCAAACAATGCTTTGTTATTATATCAGTGCTTGTACTTGTGCATTCACCTAAATATGTTTTATGCCTCACGTTTTAGTCATCCATCATTCGTATTACGTCTCGTTCAGTCATTATCATATGTCAAGTGTTAAAAATATTCAATAAAATTACAAATGATCACCATCTTCACACGATGAAGATTAATATTGGGAAAATGTATGTGCGCTCACAACTAACATACTGAGGTAAGCTTCCCTAGTCTTCATTTGAGATCATTGTACATAACTAGAGTTTCGTTAAGACTACATGCCACGTGGAAATGAGAAATTGTAGATTTGCTCATGTGCCTAGGAGAAATGGTATGCCAATATAGGCTAACGTCTAGGCTTTGTGATTGAAAAAATGATTCCGATTCTATAAAAAGACACAGTTGATGAGTTGAACCAGTCGTTACATGATTTCATGCACAATGGTAATAACTCACCACTGAGCGATGAAAGTCGATATACACAGAAGGATTGGCTAGTGAAACGTGCGTCTGGAAGTTTACAAATAGGCTTAATGTAGGTAGTTACCTAATGATGTCCTTGGTGTGTGTGTGTGTGTGTGTGTGATGATCACAACTTCAAAAGACTTGTAAAGCTCTAAGCTCTAAGACTTGTGAAGCTCTAAAGCTCTAATGATAAAAAAGTTCAAACATTATGCTTAAGAATGGTAAAATCCCCCATTTTAATCTCCTATTATTAAACATTAATAAAATATATACAATTCATATAAAATAAATAATTATCAAAACCACATTCGAAATCGACTAATTGTCAGAGGCCTTACGTGGTAAGAAGCATGATACAAGCAACACTCACTGGCTGTGTCTCTCAACTCTGAACATCACCTAAAATAAGCAATGGTTCCAGGTACGCTACCGCTAAAGTTTCTGAGGCAGTCGTGCGAACAGAAGATAGCGTCGACGGGCAGACGCATATTTCCGTTGTTACTCAGTGACACAGCCATGACGGCTATCGTCCGTAGATCCACCGCCATCGAACGCTTGATGCTCGCCTGCACAGACAAAGACAACATGAATGGGGGCTCTTGCTTTCTGTAAAGATATAATTATTACTATATAACATGAACACATGACAATCCGATATATGTATTGTACATTCGAATATAAAGTTCTGCCTACTTTTAGCATATAGTATTGTATATAGTATAATCAATATTTCCAGTTGCTGAGTTATTAGTAGCAGCTGCTGCTATTCATTATTATTGCGTTGTACCCCCCCCCCTACCACCACCACCCCCACAGTATATGAACCTTGGCACATCACACTTCTGAGAAGTGCCTACGAAAGGGAGCATTGTATAATAATTATGTATCACATACATGTAATAATACTTTAGCATAGTCTATACTAACCTCAAAACAAGCTCTGCCACACAAGCATTGCTCTGCAGAGTCTAAGTAGGCGACCAGTGACGCGGGAATATCCTCTTCAGTGTACGACATTCTAAAAAGCAAGCGATACAGACGGTTTAATGAATGTACACACTCCAAGCGATTATACCACCAGGCGCATGGTTGAGCATTTGAGAGAATAAATATTTATGACAGATTATCAGGCCTTTGTATGAAACTCTTTTAAATGTAATTACCAACATACCCTGGTGTTTGCACGTCCCTATATGACACACGAGCATATAGTCATTCTTGTACACAAAAACACGTACACCCGCACACATACGGATGCACAAACACACTCACAATCAGACACGCACGCACGCACACACACACAACACACGCACGCACACACGCATACACACACACACACACACACAACACACGCACGCACACACACATAGACAAGAATGTAGAAGCACCTGTATTTCTTCACCGTTCTCGCGGCACACTCGAGCAGCGTCGGCGCCTCTCCTGTGACTTTCGCCGCGGCGACGACTGTCGGCGTAGCCGGCACGAACGGATTCCCATACAGATCTACCGACTCCAACCTCAGACGAAGGAGACCGCAGGGAACAGACGTCAGCTGATTGCATGCCGCAGACAGATACCTGTAAGCATAGAGCAGCATCTCTCATCGAATCCTTCATTAAACTTTTCGTCGCTATCTAGCTCAAAGGTTTGGGTGGTATAAATGTATATAGACTGAAATTTACTCAAATGAAATTAGTTGTAAAGGTGATTCGTTATTCAGGTTAGTAAATTACATTGCATGTGGGCAATAAGTGCGTGATATTTATACCTATCATGTTATATATTGTAATATATATATATATATGTACGAACATGTGTGATATTTCAGTTATTGCTGGGATGGTACTTTAGGTGGTATAACCAATTACAATGTACAGTATGATGGACAATAAGGGCAGACCATAAGAAAATTAAACCATAGAGAAATCACGTGGGGGAAACCCCAAGGTCTCTTCACTCCACACGCATCAAACCATTCCCCTTTCGGCAGTCCCTTCATTAACCCCTGTGTGATCGGACACACATTACCTGAGACGTGAAAGGCTTGCTATATGCTTCGGTAGAGCCGTGAGTTGGTTGTTGTTTAGTTTCAGCGTGACGAGAGATGTGAGCTGGCAGAACTGTGCGGGTAACTCCTTCAGCGGATTCTGTCCAAGATCCAGCAACACCAGAGAGCTGCAAACAGAGAAACACGCCACGTTATGCCTCCGCTATACATTCAGTTAGTGCCAGCGCGACTGAATGTAACTGCTAACGACAGTGACATGCGGGAAAGTGTGTTCTCTTGTCGGTACGGTGCTAGCAAAACTGGTTACCTAACGAGGACAGAATGGGAGAGTGAGAGAAACGCATTCCCAAATCAGTACATTGCTAGCCTACTAACGACAGCTAGGGACATTGTCTGAAATACGCTCCCAAATAGAAACGGTGCTGGTAAAACTAGTTAACGTTTATTAGTGTTAAGTTATTAACTAGTTACCGATTGAGGACAGCATGGGACAGCGGGCGAGAATTGAGTTACCACGATCGATACTGGCACTAGAGAGTACCTGCTGAGGTCAGTGCAGACAGAGGCTGGCAGCGACTCCAAGCAGTTGTCATAGAGGTGCAGCTCCACCAGGTGGCAGAGCCTGCCGAGAGCTTCCGGAAGTTTCCAGATCTGGTTTCGCGAGAGGTCCAGCACCCTGAGATGCCGCAGGCCCTCGATGCGGCCATCTACCCTGCGCAGCCCGCACCCGGTTATCGTCAGCCGCTGCAGCGACGCAGGGAAGCTGCTCGTCACAGGGTAATCTTTACGCGACGTGATCGCCATGCGAGTCTTCGGTGCCTCCATCTATTGGACAGGAGTGTAAAGTTTGAATGTGTGTTCACCATTTCGATTGAAGTGGTGTGCGCGGATTGGCACAGCGAACACTATCAGGGAATTGTGGAATTGAAAAGCGAAAATTGAAAGAATGACCTTTTAGAATGTAAAACGCACAATGTCATTTCATAAATTAAGATTGTACGGGTTATTTTACGTCAGACATCCCAAAAATGCACGGAGAATACATTATTATTACATTAGTACATTAATTAAAACAATTTTTAGAGTAAATTAGTTGTGGGGGCAATAGAAATGGTTGTCTAAACATTACTTGTAATTTTTCAACTATACTATACCATCTTTTTTATCATCAAATGTTAGTGAGCAGAAGACAAATCCCAAATCTTACTAATGTCACCTTGAATGGACAAAGTTTTCTGGTACCTGTGCAGTTGATACGGGTCGCAGTGTGGACATCTTCATTACCCCGATGTCTTTGTTTTGTAAACCCAATTTCATTGCCTGAAGAAATCCCTTTAACTGAATAACATCTGCCTGTGTAAAAAGATAAGTGACCATATTACTATTATTAGACATCAGGAAAACCTGTCCAATGAACAGTAAGTGTTATGGAATATAGTTATTTTCTTCATCACTTGGTACAGAGTCATTTTTATAATGTGTGGTATGACTAAATAATTTATCCATATAGACGGTAAATAGACGGACATAGAATTATCATTTTCTTACCTACGCTTATAATTCACGCATATTATAATATCACAATCTTTATAAAGACTATATATTAGACTTACTTTACTGATTATGAGATCATGTGGAGGTTCTTTGACACGAATTGTCATCTTGCCTTCATTGACAAACTTCGTGAACACCTGATCGATGTTTGCCTTTAACTATAAATACATATTCAATAAAAGAAGAATTGGGTGTTCTCAGTTCACACTGCACAAAGTTATTTAGTTTCAACAACCTATGAGTTTGGAAGGTGCAATGACAGCACTATGGCTATTTATATCATTTATACTTAGGGGTGCAGAGTCAGGTGACTGAAAGAACCTTTTAGTATTCAGTATACATAATTAAAGAGTTAAAAATCATACCACACAAAACTGCTTTAGTATATAGTCATGTAATTTTTTTGAATGACACAAACATCAATAGCAGACAATCAGGTAAAAATAACTTTGTCAACTATTTCAAAGATACCTACTGTATCATTTCCCCTCGTTTGTATCACCTGACACTTATTAGAAGGGTCTAAAAAACAATTTTTAAGATGTAATTTTATTGAAATAAGTTATTAAAGATTTATCAATTATCGATCAGTTTCAAGTTTGTGCAACTGTTGATTTATCATGAAATCTGTAATGTATCCAAACAATAGCATACATATGAACTTAGTCTTTGTTCATGGATGTTGACAAGTGATAGGTACCTTGTATTTCGTCCCGACACGATTTTGTGCAGTGCAGATCATTAAGAACAGTGTTCCATCTTTCGAGTCCGAGCCAGGATTGCGACCTATTGAAATTTGCGTTCTAGCACTTGTTCTTTTGCCTGCCACATTAAGTGAAGGTAGAATCCGGTTCCCTATTTCCAAGCTGCATGTCAGCCTCATTTCTGTTGGCGGTTGCCTCCTCGGGCTGCTGTCAACTCCTATTCTTAACAGTAACACCTGTCTGTGTATTGACAGCTTGATTAGAAGGAAGATTGATTTGAATGTAATATAGCAGACATCCACCCGACACGAGAGTGGGTCACATACACATCTTCGATAAGCGCTTGTCAATGTTATTGTTAATGTCACTACAACAAGTAGATACAATATCAGGGTGCAAAATTAATGCGAGTCTGGGGTCAAATACTCCCTGATTTACTGTGGACTCCCTGATTTGACACATGCAGGAGTCCGTGTGACGCCCTGAAAATTTTGCTACACTAACTAGTTGGTTCCAGAGCACGGCCTCGCAGAATTACCGTAATTTTTCAGCAAATGTTCTAACAAAATTTGGCAGACGTGCCCTGCAAATGTCCTGCAGTGTCCAAACGTGTAATCACCAGCGAGTGTTACAGATAGCCAGCATGTGCCGCGCTTGCCGCTAGTGCGTACATGTATGTTCAGCAGTGGTGTTGATTAATGGACGGGCCCCCGATTGTTTCCGTGGCGCGAAGTGATGTCATGTGCGGAGCATGTTTATGACTGCGTAGAGGTGACAGGCACCTGGGAGGGGAGAACAAAAGTAAAACCCTTCCCGGTAGCTCCCCCATCCTATAATTTTTGTGGAGATCGATTATTGAACTGTCTGTATTTGGTAGATAACAAGCATAATATATGTTAATGTACCAGTGTTCATGTATTAAGTACCAGTTGGATTCTGTTTGACACACATGTACATGTATGACAAATGATTGCACAATGCTAAGGTTATAAACTTGATTTGTTAGAATGAAACCCACATTTTATTTTCGTTTGCAATAATTTCTGTTTCCAGCACCATGTTTACATCTTTACCACGTTTGAACGTGGCTTTCTGAAATAAATGTTTCCCTAAGATTAAGCCTTTGGGATTGTTCCTAATTTTAGACATTTAGTTTTATTCATCCAATTTTCAGAAATTAAGGACTGGTAGATTCTCATAAGGGCTAGTAGATTTTTATTTTCACTAGCCCTGCTGGCTAGTGAGTCACTTTGATTAATTTCGACCACTGCCTTTAAGGGCGATCAATTATGGAGGCACATGTGGAGGCACATGTCCCTAAACCAAGATTTCTTGTTAGTTATATGTTAATTTTTCTAAATTCTACCCCTGCAATATAGTAACCAAACAAGCTTCTTGTTGGGTTACATCACAGGCCCTAGGAAGCTCAAGTTTCAAGAAGAGTAAAAGAGCGAGGCGGCTTCGCTCTTTTACTCTTCATCATTCATGAAACTTGAGCTTAAAAAGGCCAAGGCCTCCAAGGGCCTGTGGTTACATTATGTCTATGCGTGTTTGCGGTTTGGCATTACTTGGCAATGTACACTACTAGTAGTAGTAGTAGTACTACTACTAGTACTAGTCAGTGTAGCTCTAGTACTATAGCCCGTGTACAGTTGCCGCAGGCCTGCACCCCGCACCCTGCAGCCACTGGCAGCAAGAACCAGATGAGACGGGATACTAGAGAAGCGTTGCCGAAAGGAGGTGTTAATCCCAAGCGCTATACGCGCAGATCCT